ATACCAATGGTGCCCTGACCGGTTTGGCTCAGTAGATAGAGCGGCGGCCTACAGACTCAAAGATACCAATGGTATATTTCACAGAGCTAGAGCAAATATGCCAAAAATGTATATGGAACCACAAAAGACCCCAAATAGCAATAGCAGTCTTAAGAGAGAGAAAAAAAGAAAGTTGGAGGAATCACACTACATGATATCACGCTACACTACAAGGCCATAGTAATAAAAAAAAAAACACATGGTACTGGCATAAAAGCAAACATAGGTCAATAGAACAGAATAGAGAGCCTAGAAATAAATCCAGGCCTTTATAGTCAATTAGTATTTTACAAAGGAGGCAAGAACATACAATGGGGTAAAGATAGTCTATTGAATAAATGATGTTGGGAATATTAGACTCATCCAAAAAAAAATAAAATAAAACTAGCCCACCCAGCAAATGGAGGAAAAGGAGCTAGGATCAGAAAAGACTTCAGGAAGGAGATAATAGTTAAGGAAAAAAAAATTCTTGGAACACATAGGAATTAAACTGCCCGGATATGAATCCTGGCTCCATCACCTACTGGCTATATGATCGTGGGCAATGTACTTAGCCTCGATTTTCTCATCTTTAAAATAGAAATGATAAGCCCAGCTGGCCTGGCTCAGTGTTTGAGTGTCAATTTATGAACCAGGAAGTTGTGGTTTGATTCCCAGTCAGGGCACATGCCAGGGCTGCAGGCTCAATCCCCAGTATGGGGCATGCAGGAGGCAGCCAATCAATGATTCTCTCTCATCATTGATGTTTTTATCTTTCCCTCTCCTTCCTCTCTGAAATAAATAACCATATTTTTAAAATAGGGATAATAATATTTGTATGGATCTCACAGACTTCTCATGAGAAATCAATGGAATAATCCCAACAAGTATTAGAACAGTGCTGGCATATAATAGCAGCTTAATAAATGTTAGCTATTATTATTTGGGATGTCTCAAAGAATGGGTAGGATTTTCATAATTGGAAGAAGAAGTTTATAACTGAAAATAATAAATAATTAAAGTTATAATGAAGCTGAAAAAACACCTAGCCCACCTTCTTACATCATACACAATAAACTCAAAATGGATTAAAGACTTAAATGTTAGACTTGAAACCATAAAAATTCTAGAAAATAACATAGGCTGTAAAAGCTCAAGCATTTCTCATAGCGATATTTTTTTTCTGATATATCTACTCAGGCAAGGGAAACAAAAGAAAATACAAATAAATGCAGCTATATCAAACTAAAACGTTTTTGCACAGCAAAGGAAACTATCAACAAAATGAAAAGACAACCCACTGAATTGGAGAACATATACACTGATATATCTGTTAAGGGGTTAATATCCAAAATTTATAAAGAACTAAAAATCTCAATACCAAAAAACCCCCAAACAATCCAATTAAAAAATGGGCAAAGGACCTGAATAGATACTTCTCCAGGAGGACATAGAGATGGTCAATAGACATATGAGAAGATGCTCAATGTCACTAAATATCAGAGAAATGCAAATTAAAATCACAAAGAGATATCACCTCACACCTGTCAGAATGACTATCATCAATAAATCAAACAAGTGTTGGTGAGGATGTGGAGAAAAGGGAACCCTTGTGCACTGTTGGTGGGAATGTAGACTGGTGCAGTGTGGAGTTACCTCAAAAAATAAAAATGTAATTATTACCCAACAATCCTGCTTCTGTGAATATTTCCAAAGAAAATTGAAACACTACTTCAAAGGAATATATGCACACGTGTGTTCATTGCAGTGTCATTTACAACAGTCAAGATTTGGAAATAGCTAAGTGTTCATCAGCACATGAGTGGATAATAGAGACAGACGCACAGAGCTGGCTGACAAATGTCAAGGGAGGGGATTTTGGGGGGTGGAGGGATTGTGCAAAAAAGAGAAAGAACTTGTGGACACAAATGTCAGTGTGGTGATTGCCTATGGAGGGGATGCGGGGGGAGATGGAGTAGGGTATAGGGAGGATAAATGTTGATGGAAGGAGACTTGATTTGGGGTGATGAACACACAGTACAGTATACAGATGATGTGTTGTACAATTGGTCATCTGAAACCTGTATAATTTTGTTAACCAGTGTCAACATCAATACATTTAATTTTTAAAAGTTTTTTTTAAAAAATGTTTTCATTGATTATTTAGAGAAAGAAGAAAGGAGAGATAGAGAGATGGAAACCTCAACGAGAGAAACATCGATCGGCCATCTCCTGCGCGCTCCCTACTGGGGATTGAGCCTGCAACCTGGGCATGTGCCTTGACCAGGAATCAAACTGGGGGCCTTTTGGTTCATGGGTCAACACTCAACCACTGAACCACATAGGCCAGGCTTAAAAGGTTTTTTTAAATAAGATTTTTAATAAAATATCCTGCATTTGGGGCACTACAGTCTTCAAAATATTGTGTGTGTTTTACACTTACCACACCTTTCAGTTCAGACTAACCACACATGGCTGCTGCTAACCATATTGGATAGTGTAATCCACGAATCTTTTTTTTTTTAATTCCCTACCTGAGATATTTTTTCCATTGATTTTTAGAGAGAGTAGAAAGGAGGGAGGGAGGAAGGGCGAGAAAGAGATTGGCTGTCTCCGCATATACCTGACGGGCCAGGGATCAAACCTGCAACCCAGGTACATCCCCTTGACCAGGAATTGAACCCATGAACCGTGGGTGCAAGACCGACACTCTAAGCACTGAGCAACAGTGGCCAGGCCAATCCAAGAATCTTTTAAGACAGGAAATAGGGGCACTCATATAAAATATGATGAGGGCTTAGAATTATGGGGATGGGTTAGGAGAGCACAGAATCAAGAGATAGTTCTTAGTAATTATGTGTAGGAGCCTAAATTTTGTTTCCATAGACTTTATAGCAAGTAATTTGACTATTTGCCTGGATGTTTCATAAATCCTTTAAGTTCATCGTAGCCAGTAAGTACATCTAGTATTTTCCCTGCTAACCTATTTCTTCATCAGTGGTCACCATCCCATTCCTTCTAATGCCACACATTCAATTAATCACCAGATACTGTGGGCTCCACCTTCAAAATATCTCTTAACTCTACTCAGCTGTTAAAACCTACTAGATAGGTTCCTCTACCAAAAACTTCATAGTGGCCGAAACCGGTTTGGCTCGGTGGATAGAGCGTCGGCCTGCGGATTGAAAGGTCCTGGGTTCGATTCCGGTCAAGGGCATGTACCTGGGTTGCGGGCACTTCCCCAGTGGGGGATGTGCAGGAGGCAGCTGATCGGTGTTTCTCTCTCATCGATGTTTCTAACTCTCTATCTCTCTCCCTTCCTCTCTGTAAAAAATCAATAAAATATATTTAAAAAAAAAAAACTTCATAGTGTTCTGTACAGCTCATTTGTATCACTCATCACAGTTAAAATTATGCGTCCAGTTTCTTATCATCTCTAGATTGTAAGGTTCACACGATGTCAGGAATTACCTGTCTTGTTTGTATGAATGCTCAGCAGCTTCTAGCTTAAGATCTGAGTGTTCTTGACTACTTTGTGGAGAATTTAAGTTTCCTTTCAAATTACCTATAGTGTACACAGCATGGTAAAGTGCAAAGATGTGGGTTTGGAGTCAACCTGAGCTTGAATTTCACGTGTTAGTTAATAGTTTTGTGACCCTGGCTTCAGTTTTCTTATCCATGAAATGGGAATAATGGTAGTACTGCTGTTCTCTGGGTTGCGGAAATTGATTAAATGAAATAATACATATAAAACTCAGCATGATGCCCTAACCTGTTTGGCTCAGTGGATAGAGCATCGGCCTGCGGACTGAAGGGTCCCAGGTTCGATTCTGGTCAAGGGCGTGTACCTTGGTTGCGGGCACATCCCCAGTAGGGGGTGTGCAGGAGGCAGCTGATCGATGTTTCTCTCTCATTGTTTCTAACTCTCTATCCCTCTTCCTTCCTCTCTGTAAAAAAATCAATAAAATATATTTAAAAAAAATAAAACTCAGCATGATGTTGACAGTAAGTACTCAATAATAATTTGTTATTAATGAGATTTATTTATAAGCTTTTGTGTGCTCACTGTAACTGATTTTCATCATGCTACTACAGTGATGAGTCTGTTGATACTTTCACATGAGTAATTATATTGAAATTTAGTGAGGTTTATTATAGCATATTCCACATTACTATAAATACTTGTGATTTATAAAATATTTCACTCTAATAATTGATAAAACATTCATATTAATACCTATATGCCATTGACCAGGAGAAATAAAGAAGAACCAGTGAAATAAGAAGTCCTATGATAATACATACACATATAATAGGGGCTCAATAATTATTGAAGATTATAAGAAACTGAAATTTTTATTTTCCAACTATATCATATTGGCACATTTTTAACCCAACAACAGAAATTGCTCAAAATATGTTTTTAAATTTCTGGCTTGCTAACCAGTAACAGCACAGAGCATATAAGAAATTAACAGTCATTTACTGAGTAACTCTTAATATGCAAAGCACTCTAATAGGTGTACTCTAAGAGATAAAGAAAGAAGAAAGCATGATTTCTGTTTTCCAGCATCTTATAACCTGTTCTAGGAGAGCTGTCTGAATCAAATGAAACAATTGGTGAATTAGACAAGCTAGTATTTAATTAACTGCTAAAACCAATTCTGCCTTGAGATTATATGTTAGAAAGCTGATCAGCCTTCTTGAAATTTAGCTTTGATAAGACCACACTGCAGTTGGAGGACTTAATATTATATTTTTTGATGGTTCAGTTTTTCATAGAAAATTGAATTCATTATACAAAGTATGATACTAAACTGCCTTTTCAGACTGTTGAAAACTAAGTTTTGTTGGTTTGCTCCCTTTCGTAGCAAAATTGCGATGGGACAGGCATGATGTACTTCATAGGATGTGGTTATAATGCTTTTCCTGTTGGATCTGAGTATGCTGACTTCCCAAACATGGATGACAAACAGAAAGACAGAGAAATAAGAAAATTCAGATACATTGTCCATGCGGAACAGAATGCCTTGACCTTTAGGTATGAAATTCCTTTGCATTTTCATTAAAATGTAGCAAGGGCTAGTTGAAATTGAACCCACAACCTTTTGGTTTATGGGACAATGCTCCAAGCAACTGAGCCACCCGGCCAGGGCTGAATTTAGCTTACTTTTAGCTGCAATTTATTTCCTTTTTAAAATTTTTATTATTCCAAGAAATACTCTTTAGAAGTATAACCTTGGCTATACTTGGTCTTTGCTGCCTGACCTGAGGCCATCATCAGAGATACTGTGGGCAGATTTATTGAGCAATCTTTTTTTCCTCCTCATTCCCTATTCTCTAATATAAAATGGCATGAAGTGTATTCTTAGGGTCTTGTATATTTCTGGAATGTAAGCTGTCCTTTGTTTTCAAATTCTAAAGCACATATTTTGTTATTATGAATATATAGATTTTATTATGAACTAAATTGCTTTAACATAGTTTTTGTTAGAGGTTATAACTGGCATTACCTCCTCCTCTGATGTTAATTTAGATTATTTCTACAAACATTTCTCAGCATTAACCATGAAGGGGGTGATCTTAGGGTATTCAAAACTGAATAAAATATTGCTCCTATCCTTAAGAGCTTGTAACACAGTATGTGATACAGGGAATGTGATAGTGCATTCACCCAACCCAAGTGCTGTCAAAATTCATGGGCTGCTATGGATGGAAGGGATTGGGAGGGAAAAGCTTTATGGAGAAGCTAGCATTTCAGCTGAGCTTTGAAGGTTTTGGTAGGATTGTGACAATTGGAGGTACTTACAGGGAAGTCATTCTTGCTTCGGGCATAGCAGTGGTCTAGAAGGAGGAGGAAAGCTTATGTGTAGGAACATGCAGCTCCAGTTAGGCTGGACCATGGAGCTCCTGGGATTAGGTTGGGACTGTACATTGGGGCCTTGACTTACGAGTGTCCTGACTAACGGGTTTTTCGAGATACGAGCCGTCTTTCGGCCGATTTTTTTCTTTGAATTGCGAGCTAAAATTAGGGTTACAAGCCAGCTTCAGATACCCCACCACTAGTTGGCGCAGCGAACATCACAGTGAACGCCACAACATCAGCCCAGCATCATGTGTCTTACTCGTTCACAATTGATTTGACAAACTAGTAATTGAGTTACAAGCTGTCACGGAACGAATTAAACTCGTAAGTCAAGGCCCCACTGTATAGGGAAGACTGTGAGGTTAGACTTCATTTGGGAAAATGGAATGGCATTGGGAGATTCATAGTACTGATTGCTTACGTTACGGGTATATTGTGTGAATAGGTTAGGTGCATAAAATTGTGTTGGCCTAGTCCGGGTAAACAAATGAGTCTGAATTAGAAAGATGGGTATGGAAGGCTGGTGGTGGTGGAAGACGGCTGACTCTGAGCAGAGTGACCATGGAACCAGGAAATACAACCCCCGTAGCCTCAGATGAGAGCATCCCTTAGTCCTAAACTACCCCCATTCAAACAACTCCTCTCTCTTTTCCTTGTGCTCTTCATTAAAGCTTGCACGGAGATATGTTAAATCCAAATGGTTCTTAAATAAAAGTATCCTGTGTTAGGGAAGTGGGTAAGGGAACTATAACTCAATCCAGAACTTTAATATTACAGTAAAACCTCAATATAACAGACTAATATTGGCAAGGTGGGGGGGGATTAGAAAACTGTGGTACATCTACACAATGGAAATCTACGCTGTGGTAAAAAAGAAGGAATTATTGCCATTTGCAACAGCTTGGATGGAACTGGAGGGCAACAGGGGGATGAGAGTATGAGTATGGAGGGGGTGAGGGAGGTTGGGGGTTAATAGGGGGATGAGAACACATTTGTAATACCTTAACCAATAAAGAAATTTAAAAAAAAGTCCATCCTATCTACTAATGAGGGAATATGCTAATTGACCCTCACTCCATCGCAAAGATGGCGGTGCCCACAGCCAATAAGGAGGGAATATGCTAATTGACTGCCATGCCCTCAAATATGGCAGCACCCATAGCAGCAAGATAGCAGTGCCCAGACCCCTCAGCCCCGCTGGGGCGGCAAGCACATGGCAAGGCCAGTCCCGCCCCTAGGTGAGCCCAGCCTTGCCACGCACCTGCCTCAAGAGTCCCCCAGTCCCCTCAGCCCCCCAGCTGCCCAGGGCTGGCCCAAGGCACAGGCAAGCCTCGGATGGCAGCTGCCCAGCCACCTGGGGTGTCCGAGGCTCAGGTAACTAGGGCCGGCCAAGGCTTGCGCTGACGGCAGTGACAGCAGCAGAGGTGTGATGGGGCGTCGCCTTCCCCTGATGGCCAGGTCACCTCTGCCCCTGAGGGCTCCCGACTGTGAGGGGGGTAGGCCGGGCTGAGGGACCCCCCCGCCACACATGAAAATTCATGCACTGGGTCTCTAGTTATATAATAAAATAGGTTTCCTGAATGTGTATGTTAAAAAATTGACAAATTAGTTTACCAATTTTTACTTATGTAGACATGTTTGTATAATTAAAATTAAGTATGTGGAAAGTTTAATTTCACAGAAAAGTTTTCTATATGTATTACTGTAATTTTAAATTTATACTGAATAGGTCTAGTAAATGCCTGCATTCAGCAGTCACCAAGTGTAAACAAATGCACACGGCTGGGGTGTGGCTTAATACATGTGGAAACATCAGCTAGCACATGTTATGCTGCAGAAAGCCACACCACGCAACAATGGAACCAACCACCATGTACTATGCGGTGTGATCATGTGCTATTCATTCACCAAATATTGTTTACGAGCAGTGACTCTTGGATTTAAATATGTAGACTATAGTTGTAGGTATGTAATATTTATTTATGTTGGTGAAATTATTACAGTGTTTTTTCCAACATATAGCCTATTTGCTAAAATTTGTTAAAAATAACACTGAGTTAATAATAAGCAAACTAGAGACCTGGTGCATGAAATTTGTGCACGGGGTGGGGGCACCGTCCCTCAGCCCGGCCTGCACCCTCTCCAATCTGGGACATCCCTCTCACGACCTGGGACTGCTGGCTCTTAACTGCTCGCCTGCCTACCTGCCTGATCGCCCCCTAACCGCTCCCCTACTGGCCTGATTGAAGCCTAACTGCTCCCCTGCCAGCCTGATCGCCCCCAACTGCCCTCCCCTGCCGGCCATTTTGTGGTGACCACCTTGTGGTGGCCGTCCTGTGACAGTATGGGGATGGCCATCTTGTGATGACGTTGTGCAACACCACCTAGGCTTTTATTATATTGGATAACCTGTTAATTATAAGCAAATCTTGGTTAAAAGCATTTTAAAATTAACAGAGATTTAATGGAAATTTTGTATGTTAAATCCAAAGTCTGTTAAATTGATGTTCGCAAAGCCAAGGGATGACAGTAATTTATTAGTTTAGTAAGCATTTATTAAATATCCATTAGGTACCAGATAAGGGGATAGTTCTTTTGGCTATCATGAGTTAATGTATAATTAGACATCGTAAACTGTTAAGGGGGTGTTAGTTCTGGCCCCTGATTTGGCATTACAGAGAAGTACTTACTTAGAGAACATTGTGTTCTCTCTCTCTTACTGTTTTCATTTACTTTGTAATATAATACTGAAAACTTGCCAGATGGCTTCGAATAAGTAAATTTTGCTTATAATAATTGTCATGTTCAGGTTATATTTTAACATTTATGAGTTTAGATTTTGAACACTCACTAATTCAGAAAGAATAAGTTTCACTTACTATTGTTTATAATGTTACAAATCTGCTCTTAAAGCAGACATTTTAGTTTTTAAAGATTTCTCTGAAATATAACTTACCCTTTCAGAAACTACCCTTTTAATATTTTATACACTTTTTGTAGGTGTCAAGAAATAAAACCAGAAGAAAAAAGTATGATTTTTGTGACAAAGTGCCCATGTGATGAGTGTGTACCTTTAATTAAAGGTGCAGGCATAAAACAAATCTATACAGGGGATATAGATGTTGGAAGAAAGAAGGCAGACATCTCTTACATGCGATTTGGAGAACTTGAGGGTGTTAGCAAATTTACAGTAAGTAAGATACACATTTTTTTTTCAAATATGCTTCCTATTAATGTTGTTTGGTACCCTGCCACATATTTTAACCTAATAATTCCCACCCTTTTAAAGAGTTTCAACAAAGTGTTATCACAGTTTATTTTTATGTGCAAGCACTTGCCTAATTACAAATTTTCAGTTTAGGATCTCTGTCTTATGAATTTGTATCTCTGTAAAGAGAGTTGTATTGACCTTACAGATCTTGAATTAGCAGACCCTTTGGTGCGTAACCAAAAAAAATCTCTGAACTACCTCTTCCGAGCCTCACCCTTCTTTCTGGCTTGGATGGAGCAGTAAACAAAGTGAAAATAGTTTAAGGTTACAGAAAAGATAGGGAGGGGGATTTAATATTTGATATATAAATAAAAGTACTGAGGTAGTTCGTGCAAAACTCAGAACTCTAACTGTTTATATTTTTTTTACTATTTAGGAACAATTACAAATATACACAGAAGTTCAAAAACTCTACTAGAAACTTTTTTTCCAGAAACATTTGAGAATAAGTTGTTGACATGATACCAGATTACTCTTAAATACTTTATTGTATATTTTCTTAAACTCTATATTCTCCTACATAACCATAATCTAACCACAAATCTCAGGGAATTATTATTGACACCTTACTTCCATTTTAGCCAGAGATTTCATCAGCGTTCACCAGTTGTCCCAATAATGTTCTATATAGCAAAAGGGTCCTGTCCAGAATCATGTATTGCTTTTTAATGATAATTCTGGAACTGAATGTAACATTTATATACTAGAATTTGCAGTGGGTACAAAAGACATGTAATAGAATTGTTTATAAATTTCAACTTTTCATTTCTGTTTTGAGTCCAGGGTCCTGGAATTTATACAGGGGAGGGCAAAATTAGGTTTACAGTTGTGAGTACCTGAAAAAGTTTATTCTTGTATTATTATTTATTAATTATTGTATTATTATTATTTCATATCCTTACTTAT